GAAAAAATATAGACAAGAGGGAATGAGGTGGAAAGGAGTAGGGGGGGGGGGGGGGGGGGTGCGTGAGCTGAGCAGCCTAACAAAATCTTGAAAAATTCACTTTAAGAATCAAGAATTGGATATGTTTAAACTTCAAACTATGAAGAAATCCAAATGTTAATGAACTTTATTATCAAATAAATGGAATTAATACTAATTGGTATGTTGAGCGATGTTGTTAAAATGTTTCATCGCCATCAGCTAAAGTTTAAATTTTAAAAAATTGCAGCACAAGAATGTCAACAAGGACACTTCATCAATATATTTAAAAACGTGCTTGTCGTCGTCCCTTGAGCATCTGCCTAAAATATATCCTGAAAAATCACCCGATAATTTATTCAACAAGATCGAAAATTGAAAATTTGAAAATTGATCAAAAATGATAAATTGTTGCGTGTAAAATTAAACAACCCCGACTCGATGACATTTTCTTAGACTAGAAAAAAATGTAGTAAATTTCGTTTTATTTAAGAAAAAGTTTTTCAACCTTGAAGTCAATATAAATGAAGTGTGTTTGGAATCTCACAAATCTTCGTTTTCTGCATCTTCATATCCTCTGTGAAATACTTGGTTTGTGTATTATTTGAGGTATTTTTTGCTTTTTGTTTCTGATGATGGAATGTTTTGCACACAAAATTGTTCGGAATCTGATTTGGTTTGCTGAACAAGCGTAGCTAATTTTATTCAAATTAAGTCATTTTTTTTTATCATAAACTTCAGCACATCTTGATGTTGTGTTTCAAGTCTATCAAAAATTGTTGAAATAAAGAAATTCACCGAATGGTTTGTCCCGAGTGAGAATCGAACCTCGCACCTCTCGATTGCTGGTCAAGTGCTCAGACCACTAAGCTATTGGGCTTTCCCATTGGAACTGGCAGAATGCCAATATATGTGAACCATGCTTGTTGAATTTTTCTGTTCTAGAGCTTTCAACTTTTAGTGTCTTCACTACTTTGGCAAGGCCACTAGAAGCCAAATGAAACTTAATAAGCAAAGCATATAACTTAGATGAAACAGTTATCATTAGGCCAACGTTTGAGTCAACTTAAAGACAGACAAAGCTCCCAAATGAAAGAACTTTAAAGTTCTACAAGGTTTTTGATTGTTGCAATTATTAAAAATTGTTCAAAAATTTTTTTTTTAAGTTTTGACATTTTTGCTGCAAATTTGTATGCCACAGTTTAAGAACAACTGCCTTAGAGACATGAAAACTACTTTTTATTTAATCTTATGTCTTAGTAAATAACAAAAATTCTCCATAAATCACAAAAGTCAAACACAATTTTTTTTTCGAGATATATTTTGTGTGATTGCCACAAAAAATTGAGTCTAGCAAAACATTTAAGAATAAATATATTTTTTGTTCAAAATTTTCTGCTTAAAATTTGATTTCTGGTCAGCAATAAAATATCATGTTTTATCTCCAATTTGTTGTGGACACAAAAAGCAAACATTTTAGTGAGATTTTAGACATTTATGAGTCTTCATTTTCGCCTTATTATTTAAGGATCCATCACAAATACAAAAGACCCCTCAAATCAGTCGAAAAAGATACCAAAAGTAAACAAATCTCTTTAGGGTCGTTTATAAATAATGTTCAACTTTATTGTGAGGGAAAAATTGAGTCATTTGCAGTGAGAAGTTAAGAATTATCAAACTTAAATAGATACGAATTCTTCTAAGCCATAATTAAATGCTTCAATGTTGTAAAAATTAAATTCTTCCATAGACGTCATTTATGAACAACTCCTTTTGCGAATCTTGTTTTTTCCCAAAACAAAATATTCTTATTTAAACTGAAAACAGAGATATCGCACACTTTGGACTCAACAATTGAGTTCCTAAGAAGATTTCACAAATATGTATTTTAATCTAAACAAAATCGAACCCACAAAATGAAAAGCCATTGAAGTCGGATCAAATTATTGAGATAAAAATTTTCTTCGTGGGTGTCAGAGGCATTTGTGAATTAAATTGAGGTTTAAAGTTAAGGATTTTGGAGTCGAAATGTTGAAATCTTATCAGTGTTGAAGCCAGAATTTTAGAGGTTTTTGAAAAAGGGGGGGGGGGGGGGGGGGGGTGCTGCTTTCCATTCATGCTGTTTATCACATGACTTGAACCCAACTCGTAAAATCTTTAGAAACACGAATTAAAGCAATAAAGGCTACAATAAGTTCATACAAAAAGGTTCATATGCTTTTAAAGTTTTCAAGATAAAATAACTCAGGCTGAAAAGGATGCAAATAAAATGAACATTTTATGTAATGATTCGCTGTCGAAAAGCTTTTTTGATGTTTTGTTTGCACTGATGGATAAGCTGAACATCCGCTTGATTTTTTAGAGGACAATCTTCAATTTTTTTTCATTTTTCAAAAAAAAATTTGATTTTTTTCTAATTCGTCCAGAAATTGGTATAAACGTGGAATGTCCTTTAATTTACTTTCAGGCCCCCTTTTCAAAAAAAATCTTCTGGTCACCCAAATAATAATAATAATAATAATGTGAGAGGGTTCCAGCCAGGCAGTGTGTTACTACACGTTGCGACGAGCTGAAGGCACTGCGATCCTGATCGACGATAGAATCTATTGTCCCGTTCTGGTCACCCTACTGATGAGTCGTTTATAAATGGTGTGTTTTTAAAGAATACGCAATTTTTTGTTGTCTTCTTCCTACTTATTATGTACAGCACATGTCTGCCTAATATATTGTGGTATGTTGAGTGTTTTTAAAGGAATTATTATTGTTTAAAATGCAGCTTTAAAGCAGCAATCGATGTCTTTGACTAAACTTGGCACAATGAACTAGAAAATATTCTTAGCTTTAAGATTTTTATATATTTTGATTGAGTCTAAAGTAAGCTGCTTCAAAATTAGCTCCAGTAACAGTTCCAAAAAAGCTTCTTTGTCTGGGCTGAGCGGCAAATTCACCCTTATTCTTAATACGTAATGTAATGCATGGATTGCCATACAACTCGAGACTCAAATCCTAATTTACATGTCAAGCAAATGAGCTCTATACTGAGTAATAAGCCTTGAAACTTTTTACTTTATTAAACTTTACAAAAATTAGCTTTGTGTGATTTTTACTGCCTTACAATCTCAAATAATGTTTTCTTAATCAGCAGCTTACATAAAAGCTAATTTTCTCTAAATCCTTAAATGTATTCTTTAACTTACAATTATTCATTGTTATCCCATAGGACTTTTTGTGTTTTTGTTCCATTAATTTTCATTTTTATCGAAAGCAATAAATAAATTTGAACATATGCTTGTGAGTCGCTGGAGGGATTAGGTTATGTAATTTTATTCATATTATCTTTTTCGCATAAATTGACACTCGCATTGCTTCTTATTAAGCACATTTTTATTAGCTTAATGTTCTGTTGTGTCAAAAATATGAAATTTAATTAGTTTTGCTTTTGTGTTTTTTTTGAAAAATGGATTTTCTCGGTTTCTTTACTTAAAGATTAAATAAAGAGTGTAGAAACTTATATTCTAGTCTGGTGTAGATCTTGACAGTAAATTAGCTGCTCAGAAATAAGTCAAACGTTCCACAACAGCTTATATTTCTAGACTGTCTAACTGCGCACTTTTGAGCGGGACCAGGGGGAAAATAACTTGGTGTGAAACGTGTACGCCAAAAATTTCACAAAAATGACGTGAAATTTCACACCATTTCACGCCAATGGTGTGAAATTTCACGTCATTTCACGCCAATTTCACGCCAGTGGTGTGAAATTTCACGCCAATGTCGTGAAAATTTTAATCGAAAAAAAAATAATTAACAGTCTTTTTTTTAATATTTTATAGAAGTTGACATACTTTTAAATTTATTTAAAATTATTATAATGTTTTAATTTTTTTTTTAAGTAAACTAAGGAACCTTTGAGTAATTGAAGTTCCTGACAAATCACATTTGTTCAGCATTTTTGGAAGCTTTATCTAAAAAAGGAGTGTTTTGTATTTTCCCGAAAAGCAAAATAACGAAAAACAATTTTTACGAATTTTCAAATTTACGAATGTTCATTTTTACGAAAATTTTTATGGTAAAAACCTGATACGAACAATTCATGTTCGACAGACTTATCGAAAGTCTAGGGGAGTTATAATATGCACGTTCGAAAAGTTTAAATTTGAAAAAAACCGTTACAATTTTGTTGATTTTATTGGAGTTTTTGATCGTTTTGAAAAACATTTATCTATATTATGCTTATCATTAAATGACTACATAATATTTCATCTAAATTTCATAAAAATCTTACTTAATTTAAGTTTTAATTTTTTCCTCATTTTCGAAAATTTCGAATTGCAGGGTATGAAATTTCGAATTTTGTGTGGCAGACAGACAAATAAGATATTTTCACAAGTTTTCTTGGAAACTGTAACGGTCGAAACCATCGAATTGTTCGTATCAGGTAAAAACCAGAGATCGAAGCCGATTTTTTCGGCTTAACTCAATTTTTGATTTTTTTGATAGAAAAAAGCCATTTAACACCCATTTTAAGTATTTAAATTGAACTTTACATGCTTTTAGGGTTCGCCGACATGACATGCACATGCATGTGCATGTTAAAATATGCGCATACATGCGCATGCATGCGCATGTACATGCGCATGTAGTTAATAACAGAGATTTAACAGCATTTTATATTTCTTTTATTATTATTAATAATAAAAAAAGATTTATAACACATTAATTGTAAATGACAAAAACTGTTATATAAGCTATATTCTAATGTTACACTGGGCGTAATAATTTGAATGTTTCAATTATTTTAGCAAAAATAATGACTATTCATATTAACAAAAATAATAATCAAACGTTAAACGTTAACCTAATCATCAATTAGTTCCTCTCATTCCACTGCACTTAGAAAAGCTCTATCCTCTGCAATGTAATCGTTTTTATCAAACGTATCTAAGAGTACACTATTTGTGTATATAAAAAACAAGCTTTTTTACTCGTTCATTTGTTAATCTATTCCTTAATCGCGAATGTATGAATCCAAACGTTGACCACACTCTTTCTGCAGTAGCTGAAGAACAAATCATATCACTAATCGGCTGTGCTATTTTGGATAGTTCTGGATACTTTTCCTTTCCAATGATATTCCAATAGTTTCCTACTGACATTTTAAACAAGAAATCTCTTTTTTTCTGCGGAAGCATGGACATTTCTTCAACAAACGATATGATTTGTTCTTGTGCCTTACAAGCAATTTCCGAAGATAAGCCAGCTGAAAACTCCTCTACCGAACTCATAATGTCAATTTTATCGTCCTCAAAAAAATATCCTGTCACAGCATGTCTAGGAGTCAATAAGTATGCTAATCCCATACTAGATGTGTACAAAAAGTTGAGTCTGTTCTTTATTTTCACCTGAATATCCACATTGCCTTCAAACTTCTGGTACATATCGCTAAAGTAGTGATAAACGGATGAAAGAGGTGCATCGTCTCCCTCGAGCTTTCCAATGACATTTGTTGGGTATTCGATTTCTTTTATAAATGAGGCAAACTTGGTCCAAAAAAATGATGATTTGACTAGGTCAAGCGCTACTTTACTGGTTGATTTTGGACTAATTTCTTAAAATCAATAAATGAAGTGGAAATAATATTTTGACAGTAAAAAGTGTAAATTTTGTTAAAATAACGTACATGCACATACATGCACATACATGCGCATGTAAATTTGCATATATGCAGACATATGCGCATGCATGCGCATGTATGTGCATGTGGGCGAACCCTACATGCTTTACTATGATTCTGTGTAATATTTTGTCAGCATGTAGCTATAGTAAGCTCTGAATTTCAATTTAGCCGATTTTAAGCCGATCGGCTTAAATTTCGGCTTAATATTCTTTAACTTGAAATTCTGAGCTTACTGTAGCTACATGCTGAAAAAATATTTCACAGAATCATAGTAAAGCATGTAAAGTTAAATTTAAATACTTAAAATGGGTGTTAAATAGCTTTTTCTATCAAAAAAATCAAAAATTGAGTTAAGCCGAAAAAATCGGCTTCGATCTCTGGTAAAAACGTATAGGATATAATTTGAATCTCAAAAAACCGTTGGATAAAATCAAATATTGAGACAGTTAAAAGTAATTTAATCATTTAAATGCGATTAGATATGATAAAATAATTATTAAAAGATGAAGGATTAATAGAACTGAAAAAAAGATTTGCATTTATTTAAATGTGAAATATTTTTTCTATAAAAATTTTATTTTGCTATAAAATTTTCTCATGGAATTACCCATAAAACAAGAAAAAATATTACACATTTAAATAAATGCAATTCTTTTTGTAGTTCTATTGATCCTTCATCTTATAATAATTATTATATCATATCTATTCGCATTTAAATGATGAAATTGATGTAAATTGTCTTTTAATGTTTGATTTAACCAACGGTTTTTTGAGATTCAAATTATATCCTATAAGTTTTTACCATAAAAATTTTCGTAAAAGTGAACGTTCGTAAATTTGTAATTCGTAATAACGGTTATTCGTTATTTTGCTTTTCGGGAAAATACAAAACACTCCTAAAACAGTCTTGCATTCTTCAATTGATGGATAGTATACAGGAACATCATTCGAAATCAAACTATCAGATTTGATCTTTTCGTTCTCAGGCAAAACAAAGTTTTCTCGCAAATCAAACGCAATATCATGAAGAATTTGAATTCTATTGATTTTCTCGAGAACTTCTAGAGAGCTAAAATCAATATTCATAAACACTAAACTCATTAGTCTTAAACTCTTACCCAATCTTTTGTAGTTCACATCTGAGTGTTAGAATTGTAAAAAATCAGCTTATTTTATCAAAATTTAATGATTTTTTTTAAAAAAAATTGTTTGTTTATGTTTAAAAACACGATTAAACAAAAACAATACTTACTTTTGAGCATTGTAATGCATACAAACATTTTTTCTACATCTGTGAGAAAATTTAAAGCTCACAATTGTGTGTAGCTAATGAGTTGTAGGTGATCTTTTAATTCACAGAATAACTTGTCAATGTAAACAAACCTGAGGAAAATTTTTAAATTTGACCGTTATGAAAAATGTTTTTCAAAAAATCATCAATTAAACTATTTTAATTTTAACTAACGAAGACAAGTTTTGTAGGATTTTAAAAGAAAATTATTACGAAGATTTAAAAAACCAACAGTATGTTGAAAATTAGAATTTTGAAGGATAAGGACTTGGTGGCACATGAAAATTATAACTAGTCATATAAAAAGACAAGAAGACCATTAAACTGTCTATAAAACTATCTTAGGTTTACTTATTTAAATTAAAAAAGTTTATTTTCAAACCTTAATGGTTAATGGAATATTAAATGAAAGGCTTTCTGGTCGTAAAAAAAATCACTAAATGTATTTTAATTTTTTTTTATATTGGCGTGAAAAATGTATGCTATTTCACGTCAGTGGTGTGAAATTTCACGCCATTTCACGCCATTTCACGCCATTTCACGCCAGTTTCACGCCAGTGGTGTGAAATTTCACTCCATTTCACGCCAGTGGTGTGAAATTTCACAACTCTGGTGTGAAATGGCGTACACGTTTCACACCAAGTTATTTTCCCCCTGAGCGGGACAGTCCAATTTTCTGGAACACAGTCCTGCCTCTGACCCGCTTTTTCAGAGCTGAAATCAGGACACGTCTAATTTTTTGACCAAAAATCGACAGAAACCGATGGACAACCTAAATAATATAGCTCAAGTTTCTCAAATTAAAGTCACTCCTTCCCCTAATTCTTAAATGAAAATATAAACCAAGGTATAACCTTGAGAACCCTTGAGACTGCAATATACCCAAAAATTGAAGCTGTTGTAGTTTGTCAAGGAAGGCATGACAAAATTCGGGGTTTGCTTGACGAAATTTGACAATATTATTACAAAATTATGGTAAAGGTTTCAAATCATTTGGTCGCTGGCTGACTTCAGTCACACCCTTGAGAAAGGGAAGGTGTATAAACTGACCAACTAGTCATACCTTCTCAACCAAATAATCCAAAAAAAATATTTTTAATTTGTTGTCCTTGCAAACTGTTTCGTATTCTTTTCTGTCAATAAAATTTAATTTCTTTTAAATCGTCACATTTAATTGATTATAATTAACTTTTTTGCTCAGACAGGCTCAGACATTGCCATGGAAATGATAAAAATGTCAACACCAATTAAATTGACATTTGACGGCTATTTTTGTAGAATTTTTGCGGCAATTCATCTTCTTGTGTATATTAAGTTGATAATATAATTAATATAATTTCGGTTATTAAAATCAATATTTAGCAAGAAAGTTTAATGCTTTCATCATTAACCAGGCAACGCTGAAATACCTTGTCCTCTGCAAATTAACTTCTAATTTCCACAACTTTCAATATATTTCATTTAATAATCCTCAAAATATTGCTGTTGTTGTTGTCAAATCGTTCCTGATTGAAAAAATGACTTCGACTTTAAAAGTTGATTCACACACAAGAAGAAAACTCAGATAATGCGTGAGAAATGTTTCTTCTCTTTTCTTTCTCAGTCAAGGACACTTTAGCATTTTTCTTCATGATTTTTCATCTAGAAAAGTTTGTGCTCGACATGGAAATGTAAATAATTCAACGTTCATTTCTACTCTGATTATTTTTATTACTTTGTCTTCTTATACTTTTTAGGAAGCTATATTTAGGCTTTTTACGGAAAATTTTACGCTTTTCATAGAATTGTTGTCTTTGCTTATTGTTTTATGAAAAATAAATCTATTGCTATTCTAATGACTTATCCTTGAGACTTATCCTAGTGACTTATCCTAGTGACTAATCCTAGTGACCTATTCTAGTGACCTATCTTAGTGACTTATCCTAGTGACTAATCCTAGTGACCTATCCTAGTGACTTATCTTAGTGACTTATCCTAGTGACATATCCTAGTGACTTATCCTAGTGACTTATCCTAGTGACCTATCTTAGTGACTAATCCTAGTGACCTATCCTAGTGACTTATCTTAGTGACTTATCCTAGTGACTAATCCTAGTGACCTATCCTAGTGACCTATCTTAGTGACTTATCCTAGTGACATATCCTAGTGACTTATCCTAGTGACTTATCCTAGTGACCTATCTTAGTGACTAATCCTAGTGACCTATCCTAGTGACTTATCTTAGTGACTTATCCTAGTGACATATCCTAGTGACTTGTCCTAGTGACTTATCCTAGTGACCTATCCTAGTGACTTATCCTAGTGACCTAACCCAGTGACTTATCCTTGTGACATATCCTAGTGACTTTTCCTTGAGACTTATCATAGTTACTTATCCTTGTGACCTTGTGCTAGTAACCTATTGTAGTCCTTTCCAATTAAGTGATTATTAAGTCACCATTAATTGCTCATAATTTACAAAATGGTCATCAAAAAAATTTAAAAGATATCCTCAAAAATTTCCAACAACTGAAACCAATAACTAGTAATTATTATCGCATTAAATACTCTTAATTGTTTTTAATTATAACAGCGATGATAGCCTATCTGACATTTGGATTCTCACACAGTAATTATTTCCTTTCCATTATTTTCGGGTTAAAAATAATCGCACACATGTTAATGTTACCGCGAAACTCATCAAATAATATTGAACTTTTCCATAGCTGCGGGCGAAAAAAATCACAAAATGTAAACATTTTCCCGCCTATTTATATCAGAAGAAAAAAAAACCACATTTGACTTTTTCATTTCCTTTAAATAAATAAACTAGCAGTTTGTATCGTCGCTCCCACTAATGACTGCGTCCATAAAAGCCGTCATTAAATATTTGCTTACCACATGACCTACCATAACTCATAAAAATGTTCATTTTCTAACTGACTTAATTAAATGATGGTCTTGTGTTATTAAATTGCATGAGTTGAAAAAGTTTTTTCCGTTGAATGTTTGCCTTTTGGGGAGATTGAGCGGCGATTTAAAATGATTCATATGAAAATATGCGCTGTTGGCGACCAGATGTGTAGAAATAAGTACAAAATCTAGAAAATCTATTTTCATATAGTAGATTGAATTGTAGGAAAATTAATTTTTAATATCACAAAAAATTTGAGTTTTAGAAATAATTATTCTTTTGAGAACATAACTTTAGGGATTAAAAAGTTGGAATATTTTACAAATTTTTGATTGCTTCTTTCTGAAATTTGAAATATTTTATAATTAGTTTTTAGGATGAAAACATTCAGGACCGAAGCTAGGGAAGGTCCTTAGGTCCCCTCAAGATTGAAATTTAAACGAATCTTTTTGAAATTTTGTTTAAAAAAACTTTAAATCGTAATTAATTAATAAATACAAATTATTGTAAAGCAAAAACAATAAAATTAGCTTTTAATGATCGAATAGAGAAGGTTTTATTGATTTTTGATGAAAACATTTTTTTTAATCTTCCCAGATGAAAAATCCTGGCTACATTATTATCTGAATACATTAAATTTGCATAATCTAAATAGGTTGTCAAAGGTTTTTGATCAAATAACTTGACATGAGCCGATCTCAGCATCGAAAATGACCAAAATTAAAAAAGTATTCATTAATAATAACCAGAGGTCAAAGCCGACATGAGTTCGCTCGGGTTCGCTAAAAAACCGATTCGATAACCGGTAAATTTGTATAAAATGTTGTACTTCACAAGTGGCAGCAGAAAAAAATCTATTCAAATTTGAATCGGTTTTTTAGCGAACCGGAGCGAACTCATGTCGGCTTCGACCTCTGATAATAACCATATGAATCTGAGAATGTAAAAACAAACGAGAAATTTTGTTCAATTTGAAGAAAAAAAATATAATATTTTAAGCGGTTCTTAAACTAAGTGCCACGGAACACTAGTGTGCAGTAAAAGAATTTTAATTGTGCTGCGAAAATTTTTGAGTATAAAAGTGTTTCGTTAATGAAAAAAGTTTGAGAAACACTGGAATGCTTATGTTAAAGTTGTTAGCAAAAATCCAAAGCGTGGAAACTCAGGATTAATTCTGAAAAATCCCAAAAATCCAAAACAAAATCCCTGAGCCAATTATCATGGAAATGTGAAATCCCTTTTAAATCCCTGATGCATTTGATGAATAACTTCGGGATTTAAAAGGGATTTCACATTTCCATGTTTATTGGCTCAGGGATTTTTTTAAGATTTTTGGGATTTTTCAGGATTAATCTTAAGTTTCCACGCCGTGCAAAAATCATTAAATAAGATTTCTCACATTTCAATATTTTTTTATTTTTTTTTATTATTAAAACTAGTCAAAATGAACTTACAAACTTACAAACTTACAAAAAATGGATTTACTTTGCAAATCACCCATTAAAATCAACGCGAGTCATTAAAATTTATCCAAGCGAAAAATAAACAAAAATAATAATAAAAAAAATCCACGGAAGTTGCAGCACACGAAAAATAAAAAAAAATGTTAATAAAAATGAACCTTTCAACTTGTGTAAACATAAATTAAGTGATAAATGACAAAAACATCAATGATTATTTATAATAAAATAATTTTGACATTTTCCGCAATAACTTTTACCCTCATCGTCGCCTGCCCAGATTTACAGCCCAATAATGTCCGCAGTTGGAGTCGGTTAAGAAGTTCACAAACTGTTCAAGTTTCAAATATAAGAAATTTATCATCGTGGTGCACATGTTCGAGTGAACTTATTGACGTTGAGGTAAGCAACTTTTTTTGATTAAGATTACACGTAAAAAACTTTATGAATGACTTTTTATAGCTCTTTTGTACTTAATAATGATGTTTATAGGTGCTTAGATACAATTTTTTATGTCTGTATCATATGATACATAAAATGTAAACAACTTTTTTTGATGAGTTTGGATGAGATGATGAGTAAACATGTTGTTGTTCCAAAAGAATAATAAACTACTCAAGTTGAAGGTATGATCGACATTAAATCGACATCGTGATCAGCAGGAGGTTGAATTTTAGGGCACTTTAAGGTTTCCTTTCTTAGAATTGAAAATTATTGAAGAAAAATCTGTGGATTTTAAAAACAATTGATTGTAACTTGAAGAAGGTGCGATGGTTAACTCTAGAAATCAATATTTCAGTCTCGGTCTCGTTCTCGAAAATTCTGAATCTATGAGAAACCAATTCCAGAAGCACAACTAAGATGGAGCAATCTCCATAGATTTAAATTTGAAAGATTGGAGACTCCCGAGCGACATGGTGTTGACTTGAAGGAGAAACCTTATTGAATTTATCCGTCTGCAAGATGCCTTTTGACTTGTGACAACTCAACGCAATGTCACGTCGTAAAGTGTCAAAAACCAGCCTTAAGGTGTCTCCTTTAGTTCGCCACCATGTCAATATAAACTCCTTGTCGCTTGGGATTGATTTTGTAGACCTTCGCGGTTCTCTTCTTAACTACGATTCAAAACTCGCTGATCGTTAAGAGTGGAAAATTGACATACTGATCAAAAATGATTAAAAATGATCAAAATGCAATTTATCAGTTCCACACCTTCGCTGATCGAACGAGAAAGGGACAGAAAATTTGACAGTATTAATTTTTACCACGTTTTTCTTAACTTGCTTTCTTATCTGTTTGTCTGTTTATCTGTTTGTCGAGGTCAAATCTTGCGATCAATTTTTCGACCATTTCTATTGCTCCAATCGAGCTAAAATTTTGCATTCACTTATCTTTCCGGTGACAATACAATATTCAAGCATTTTACAAACTTAAATTTCAATTTAAAGTATGAAAAATATCTCCAAATTAGCTACTTAATTAACTTCCCACAAAATCGAAACAGAAGAGGGGTTTTGAAAATAATAATTTTTAAGAGAAACTTTAAAAATTTGAATAATTTTAATAATCTTGATGTCAAAAACTTTTTTTTTCTAATAAAATATTTATTCTAAAATTTATCAGATTAGGTTTAAACTCAAAATAATAATTCCTGTTAAATGTTAAAAAAATATCCAAAAAAAACCTCAAATTATTTTTCAATCAAGCACCTAAATGTTCCTCTTCGTGTCTCGAAACCTTTTTAAAAATAGACACGTGTTAAATTCCATTTCATCGCCACAGCAATTTACGCTCTTTTATTTTCATACCTTTTTTATCACAAAAGTACATTAACAATCAATGAACAGCTTGATACATATGAATTTTGCATTGTTGGATACAAATTAAATTATCCACATCACTGTCTACATCATGGTATCTCGATGAGCACTCAACAAGTTAATAAGAAGATTAAAAAGGCTTGTAAAATGTCAAGGATCAATTATTTTCACAAAAATAAGCAATGAATTGATGCATTGAAATAAATAAAAAGCAATAAAGCTACTTAAAATGTTTATTTCATTCGCAAGCACTTGTTTGCATGTACAGACAAGCTGTTCTGCATCTGCAGGTTGATAAGAGGTTTACTATCTAAAATAACACTCAACATACTCAATATCAAGCACATTTCCTGTTCTTTCTTATACAATCTGTCTTTTCAATGTTTTATATCAGTGATGACCAACCTTTGTGCCGCGGTAAAAAATGAAACGAATGCTGTGTTCGATTTCAGTCATGCTTTATCAAAAAGATGTGCCGTGGCACAAAAAAGATTAAAAACCACTGCTTTATGTTGTTGACATTATCATCTATCGATCTATCGGATAAAAGCCTTCATGTTATGTGGATGAGATTAATTGAAAAGCATGAAACAGGAAAAATGAACAATCTTACATCTGAAATCAATAGCTTAATATATGTTGCTATAGAGATAATGAACAGCATAAACCAGAAGTAAATTTTTCGTGAAAAAAATGAAAATAAGATTCGCGTTTGGTTGTAAAAAAAATTGCTCCCCTCGAGGACGAGACACCTGCGCTTAATTGCGACGCAAATGCTGAAATCGACTTAATTAGCATCAAGACTAATGAGAAGATTATCGTTTAAGCATCAAAGTTCTTTTTCATATAAATTTCTGCATTTATTATGTTTGGCATTAAAGAATTGTTTTTCCTCCTGTTTCACTTTATAGAATGAGACTGACTGCCACTGTGAAGGTAGAAATTTAACAGAAATTCCACAATACTTAGACAACGTAACACTTTTGTCGATAGCAAATGCGAGAATTAAAGCTTTAAGGGAATATGGTGTGGGGCGATATTCTAAGAATTTAAAGGATCTGTGAGTTTATAAAGTTTTAATTTGTTTTTTAATTGGTTGGCTTTAAAGAGACTTTTAAGTGTTTTTTTGAATTAAATTTGAATAATAAGTTTTTTGTTTAAAAATTAAAGAATTGGCTATTTTTTGCAACTTAAGTTGTTTTGTTTTTTTCAATATCAATTTATCAATTTGTAATATATTTTATTAATTTTAGATTTTTCAGTTTTTTAATATTTTTAAAAAATTTGGATTTTATAATATTTTAATTTTTCTTAGAATTTTCAACTTTTTGATATTTTTTATGATTTTTCAGTTTTATACAAATTCTAATTTTTGTAAAAGGTTTTAATTTATTCTTATTTACAGCGCTAATTTTCTTTTCTTCAAATAATTTTGAATTTAAATTGAAAATTCAATCATATTCACACAAAATTTTCAATTTTTGTTTTAGAGTTGAAATTTTAAAAAAAATTTAAATTTTCCTCTATTTAAAATTGTTATAATTTTTGAATTATTTTTATAAATTTTTTCAAATATTTAAGATTATAAATTTTTGAACCTTCAGTTTAATAATTTTGACACAAAATAATTTTTTTCTCTCAAATTTTTCATTTATTTTCATAGATTTTTAATAAATCTAAAAGAATTTTGCTACGTTGAACCGTACGTTTTCAGAGAGTTTATACATTTGAGAACAATGTGAGTATTTACGCAGCACAGAACTCATAAATTATAAATTTTTTGTTTAAACTTTTCTGTTCATTTCTCAATTCCAGTTACATTTCACATTCACCAAAGCTTCAATATCTTCCAGCTGAAGTCTTTTATCACACATCAAAGAGCTTTAAGACACTGTAGGTTCATCAATCATTTAAAAATGTTTAGATTTCTTCAAATTAATCACCACATTGGCTTCCGTTTCAGACGAATCATTCATTCCGGTTTAATAGAAATTCCTGATCTGAAATTTTTGTCAAAGACTGACATTTTGCTTCAATTGTAAGTCAAATATTGATAATATATTATTGTGAATGTTGATTGAATGGCGATTGTATTTTGGTTTCTTGTTTATTTATTCATGCGAAAAATCTGAATTCATGCTTTTTTCCTGATTTTTTTATACTGATGAATTTCTTCGAATTACTTGTTTTTTGGGTATCTTTAATATTAAGTTATGTCACTATAAATATGTTGATATAATTCAAAATAAAAATATTCTTCCAATTTGTGAGAATTATTCAAGATTCATCAATAATTTATTATTTATATGAGAAAAGAAACCTAGAATATTTTCATATGTAGCACTTGATTTTGACAAGGAACCTCAGAAAACATTTTAAAGCAGATTATTTTCAAACTTTTTTAATTAAATTTTTCTTAATTTTAAATTTTTCGTTTAATTGTTTTTTAAACTTTTATTTTCATCAATTCACTTGAGACTGAATCGAAGTTCTTATTAAAAACAATTGTACAGACGCAATTGACAGAATGCTTTGTTCTTTTCAGAGATTTTGAGGGAAACTTAATCACGGAAATTCCTGAAAATTCTTTTCAAATCAAAACGGAGCAGTTGTAAGTGATTTTTTGATGACTTTTAAAGTATTTAATCTACCTGAACGGCACAAGTCAGCAAATCGATCAGAAATCCAGCACAAAGCTGATGTGACTCTAGCATGATGCTGGACTAAAATCTAAGCCACCACCACGCTAGAGTCATGCAGTCATTGTGCTAGATTTCTACTCGATTAACCAGCTGTGCTATTCAGGCTTAGTTACCTTTTTATAACTCAATTAAGTTCTATGTTTTTTTTTTCTAGAATTCTAGACAACAATGTGATTTCAACAATTTATCGGCGAGCTTTTAGTGGTTCAGAAATTGGAAAATTGTAAGGATATTAAACATTAATTGTTATTGCTGTATTTTGCTATAGTTATTGAACTAATTACAAGGCTATTATCAGCAGTGTTGGATCCTAGTACTTGACATTAAAAAAGGATCTAAGAGTAGGAAATTTGAAATCAAAGGCACAAGCCTTTGCCTTTGACAAAGATAGGGTGACCATCTTATTTTTATGAAAATACAGGACATTTGATAAATTTCCTTAAAAATACAGGACACAAAAGAAAATTTGAAAATTAACGGAAATTTTCGTGAAAAAAATACAGGAACTGGAACAAAATTTTCAAATTTATACAGGACAGGGTTTTGAAATACAAGACTGTCCGTTGTAAAACTACGCAGATGGTCACCCTAGACAAAGACAATTTTGTTGCCTTTGCCTTTTTTGAGCCTTACTTAATCAAAGGCAAAATCTAGGCAACGGCAATTTTGTATCAACACGGATAGACTGGTCATCTGCTTAGATTTTTGAAGGACCCTTTTCTATTCTTTTTATCGTTTTTCAAATGTCTCGTAACCTTAGTTCTGAACCCTTAGTTTCAGCTGGTTAAAAATAAGATGTATGTTACCTATTTTCAAGTCTTTAAATCTTTTTTGATATATTTCAGGAGCTTAAAAGGAAACAAGAATTTATGCACACTACATGAGCTGGCATTCGATGGAATCATGACAATTCGAGAGCTGTAAGTTGTTTTTTAATGAATAATTGAAACGTTTAGGCGGCATTTTTTCATCAAAAGAATTAGTCACTGAAGTATGCACCCCAACCCCCTCTTTTTCTTGTCTCTAGTAACACATCCTTTGGCACATGCAGAACTTAATCATATTAAATATCATTTTCAATTTAATTTTCTCCCTTGTTGCTCAAAGAGCATTAAAACACTTGAAAAGAACTGAGAAAAAATTATAAAATCAGTTTACAGAGCACTGAATCCTCTTATGTCTCCCATAACTACAATTTAATTTTATTAATTTTGTGTCATCTTTAGGGACTTGTCAAGCTCATCAATTGAGTCTCTGTCAACGAAAGGTCTTGAAAAGCTTGAAATTCTTCGCATACAAAACACTCCGTCACTAAAAGAAATTCCATCAGTTTACAACTTTAAGGTTTGTTTGAGTTTACATCAATGCCATTTAGCCAGTGTTTCTCAAACATTTTTGATCAACGGCACATTTTTTATAAAAACAAATTTTTGCAGCACACGAAATGATTTTTACAATCTTAACTGAGCCATGATAATGGTACCGCAACATACAGTTTGAGAAGCACTGCATTAAAACCTAATCATCCTTAATAAATGGCAGTAAATCACTTTAAATATCCTACATTTGTCTTCTCCACATCCAGAATTTAGAAAAAGCTTACTTAACGCACCCATTTCATTGCTGTGCATTCAAGTTTCCATCACGTCACGACCCGCGACGGTATAACGAACATTTGCAGTTGATAAAGCTTTCAAAGCATGATTGTGAATCAAAGCTGAAGATGAATGAGAGTTCGAGTGTGTTGAATTATTCGATTAGGGATGTCAGAGCAATAAAGTTTAACGAGAGTGACAAAATGACGGAGGCAATGGGATTGATGGATTTATATGACACAACGGAAACTGGCACTGATAATGATATTGATAGAATGGGAACATTTATGAACGGTCCTGTTGATCCGCATGAGAATTTTGAGGCAATGTGTGGAAAGTTTAATTTTGCGTAAGTTTTTTTTTATTGGATTTTTAAGCTGGTTGACTGGCTGCTTGGTATGCTTATTGAATGTCAGTTGAATAGCTGTTAATAGCTTTTAATAGCCGTCATTAGCTGTCAGTAGCCATTAGAAGCTATTTATAGCCGTTGGTAGCTGTCACGAGCTGTTTATAGTGGCCAAGAGCTCTGAGCAGCTGTTAATAACTGTAAATAGCTGTTAATAGCTCACAGACTGTTTGTTTGTCTGGCTGTCAGTCCAACAAATTATCTAAAATTGAAACTTTTGAATTTATACTTTACAGTACAAAAAAGGTTGTCGCATGCTTTCCAAAACCGGATGCATTGAATCCTTGTGAAGATGTCTTTGAATTAATATGGCTCAGAGTGTCTGTTTGGATAGGTAAGAAGCTTAATTGAATACTTTTAATGAATCTCTAATAATATTTTATATATTTCCAGTAATATCATTGTCTGTGGTTGGGAATGTAGCTGTATTGATTGTTTTGCTTTCAAACCAAAGCGAAATAACTGTTCCCAAATTACTTGTTTGTAATTTGGCATTTGCAGACTTGTGCATTGGAGTTTATCTGTTTCTCATTGCACTGATTGATTTATATTCCACAAATGAATACTTTAATTATGCATTTGACTGGCAGTATGGTAAGTAGCAATCTAAAACATCACAATTTTCTTAAATAAAGATTTTCTTTAGGTATAGGCTGCAAGTCAGCAGGCTTCCTAAATGTTTTCGCAGCACATCTGTCAATCTTTACTCTTACAATCATCACAATAGAACGTTGGTTTGCAATAACAAAAGCAGTTTTCATTAATCGCCGGTTAAAAAAACGAACAGCAATTTATATTATGATTTGTGGATGGATTTACTCGATAATTATGGCAATACTGCCTTTGTTTGGAATAAGTAATTATTCATCGACTAGGTGAGCTTGATGTTTTTGATATTTTATGTGTCTTAGGTGGAAGTCAGGGGTGTAGCTGGTAAGAGGTGTAGCTAGTCAAGGGATTAGTGGGTTGGGGTAGTAGCTAGTCAGGAGTGAAGCTAGTCAGAGATGAAGCTAGTTAAGGTAGTTGCTGGTTAAGTGAGTAGCTAGTCACGGGTAGAGCTGTTCAAGAGTGTGTGGTCAGGGGTGTAGCTAGTCAGGCTTTAACTAAGTGACTTATTTATATCAAACAAGGATCATTTTTAAAAATTGATTTAAATTTTCATTCACAGCATTTGCATCCCCATGGAATTGAATGACTTACCGGACAAATTTTACTTAATAACAGCAGTAGTACTCAATTCATTGGGATTCATTGTCGTTGTGGTTTGTTACATTCAAATTTATCTGAATCTGGGAAATCAAGACTTTACCAAGCCACATGCATCAAATCGAGACATGGTTGTGGCTAAGAAGATGGCTTTGTTGGTGAGTTTAACTGTAAAATTGTTCCTAACCTAGTAAAGATAAAAAAAAACTTTAAACTCATTTCAACTTTAATCTCATTCCAGGTCTTCACAAACTTTGCATGTCTTGCTCCAATAATATTTTTTACAATTTTTGCACTAGCTGGTCACAGCTTAATAACAGTCACACAGTCAAAATTCATCATTGTTTTCTTTTATCCCCTCAATTCCTGCGCCAACCCATACCTTTATGCCATCCTTACGTCACAGTATCGACGCGATGCAATTATGCTTGTTTCAAAACTTGGAATTTTTAAGAATTACGCAAATCGATACAAGCATGTCTATCGTCATCCATCAAATTCAATTCCATTAAATACAATAAACGGATCACAATGTTCCAATTTGAGGAAGGCAAATGGTGAAAAGTTGATAACTTTATGCACTTAAGGAAAATATTGGAAAATGGAATCAATCGAGCTTATTAACATTAGCAATGAACATGAAAGATTGTTGCTAAATTGATGTTCAAATACAATTCGATGTTCAAATCTATGGTGCTGTAATTTTATAAACAGATTATTGGGGTTATTCAAGCCTATCCAGGAACGTAGCTGATTGTGGACGATTTTAAAAAGTGAATCAAATATTTTTTCATCAACTTTCAATTTTTGGACAAGATCCCTTAAAGAAGATATGAAGGCTTGAGCCCTTAGCTATATGTGAAACCAAACGAAAAAAAAAACTTGAGTAAAACTAGATGTTCAGCTAAGTCATTTATTAATGACTTTTTGGGATTAACTAGGGTCAAAAAATGAAAAAAAGAAAATCTTTAAAAAAAACAATTAGGTTACATAAATGAACATTTCTTAGAACCAAATGGCAAAAAAAAGGTTTAACTTGACGCAGTGACGACGTGATGTAACTCTTTGACCTCCACATCTCCTTATGTATGTGTGGCTGTCATGGTAACGAACCGTCGACGTTGGGCGACTCTTTTTCGTCAACTTGAAACCTTTTGTCTTTTAGGTGTGCTGCTCACGATAACTAATTAGGGGTCGTTCACTTATGACGTCCGAATTTCAGGGTCATTTTTCAATGGATTTCCAGGAATTTCTATTGTTCTTTTCTTGCAGACCTCCCCCTTCCCCCTTCCCCTTCTCTGGCCGTCATAAGTCAGCCATTAATTGATTGTTCAACTAGACTTTTAAAAAAAGTTGAAAAAATCTTAAAAAAATTTTAAAAAGTTGAAAAAAAATTGAAATTTTTTTTAAAAATTTAAAAAAAAATTGAAAAAATTAAGAAAATTGAAAAAAAGTTAAAAAAAAGAAAAAATTGAAAAATATTTAAAAATATTGAATAAATTTAAAAAGATTGAAAAATGTGAAAACAATTAAAAAAATTTCATAACTTTGATCTATCGGTATAGTTTTAAAAACATAAAAACTTTGAATAATTCAAATTTCGGTGCTACAATATTTTTATAAAATAATAGTAGGAAAAAATTGATGTGAAAAAACTAGTTTAAACCAATTTGAAGATTTGTCATATAAACTAAGTTTTTCAAACATTAAACATTGATATTAGCAATATTAATGTTTGTGATGTGAATTTATGTGATGTTATGTCCAAAAGTAATCAAAAGTTAATGTAAAACTATTGGGAAATTACAACATTAATGCTGTTCATGTTTTTTTTTCATAATTTTAATTCATAATTCTCAATTTTTTGGGGCAAATTTTTGAGAATTTTGAACAGAAAAGGAATTTGTGAATTTAAAAATAATTGATATGAAATGAGGAGACATATTAAATCATTTATAAATGTTTAAGGAATAAAGTATATTAAAATAAATTTTTTTATTTCTCATAAATTCTCCAAATTTTACAATAAATTTAAATTTCAGTTTAAAAAATATTTTTAAATCACTAGCCACGTGGTCTTAGTTGTGTATCTTTCAGTTTTAACGTTGCAAATGTTTTTGAACAAATTGGACCAGATTAAACATATTTGAAATTGAAATGACAGTTGAGGATTGAGCATGTTATGCAAACTAAACCAAACCAAGTTATATGCATCAAAATGTGTACATGAAGTCATCTAAACTACAGAATAGCTAAGTTCAAGGGCATAAAAAGGGTGTTAAGTGCGTGGACCGAATTAAAGTTCAAATGTTTTTCGTGGTAATTGTGTTGCACAAATCTTTGTTAAGCCACTCACAGTCTTTTGTTGTTAAGGTTGAATTACGCATAATTATTTAATTAACTTCTATGCATAAGTGCGTCTTTCTATTAATTATTAGTTCCTGAAATGATCCTTTTTCAGGTTTTTTTTTGTGAGTTTTTGAAAACTCTTTTGGTTTGTGAAATCTATAATCTATCGTTTACCAAGCCTGGAAGTTCGTTGTCATATTTAAGTAAAGCAATTGTTAGTAACGATCATTAAATGTTGTTGCTTGTTACTGAGCTGATTAAATCATAGCTTAATACTGTTCGCTGTTCTTAGTTGATTAAACTTATGAATGCCTCGAATGCCTAGGGTGACCATCTGCGTAGTTTTGCAAGTAACAGTCCTGTATTTCAAAACCCTGTCCTGTGTAAACTTGAAAATTTTGTTCCAGGTCATGTATTTTTTTCACGAAAATTTCCGATAATTTTCAAATTTTCCTTTGTGTCCTGTATTTTCATAAAAATTAGATGTTCACCCTAAGGAATGCCACAAGTTGTTTAATCGAATAGAAATCAGGGGCTCAGTTGGCATGACTCTGGCATGGTGCTGGCTTCGATTTGAATCCAGCTCCATGCTAGATTCACACTAGCTTGGTGCCGGATTTCTGATCGATTAACCAACTTGTGCCATTCGGGTACATTCGATTGCTGTTCTGACATTTCAAGCTCTAAGTGATCTCAAAGCTGCTGTTAAAGATTTTCCTATTTTTAATAGTTCTGCCTTTAAGTTTGTTGTGACGCTGAACTTGAGTTCAAATTAAAATTGTTGGTTCTGTTGACGCTGTTGTCAGATAAAACTCCTTAAAGACATCTTCAGTGTAAAACAGCTAAATGGAAATAGGAACAAAAAAACCCAATCAACTAGCATCAATTCCCACAACAAATTAATCTTTCAGCATGAGAAGCACTCGAACATGTTGTGACTTAAAATCTCTACCCGGAAGCTCTTCATTTCTCATTCATCGTCTTAAGGTTTCTCTAAATCCGCCCTCATTACTTTCAATTATGTTTGTTTTTTTATATTTTATTTCTTCACGCAATACCTAAGAATTTTCATCCAGTTTTCATTTCGAGCTTCAACTGTTAACACTTAAAATTAAAATGTTTTTTGTCAAAATGTTCTTAATTGTTTCAACTTTTGTGTTTTTTTATCATAATAATGTGATAAGTTTTCAAAAATCTGAAAATATATTTTTTAAAAATTTAAATAAACTTTTGGACTATTGTGTCGTTAATCCGGATAAAGTTGATGAAGGAACAATTTTGGGAATTTTGATAGCAAAAGGACAGACAAAGTATTTAAAGGATGAAGATGAAGCTAAGGTTTTAGGGAGGAAAATTGAAGTCATTTTGAAAAATTTTAAGAATGTTTCTGGTGGGTTGGAAGATTTTGGTGGGCAATGTTTAAGGTTTTACATCCTCACTCCTTCAACTGCTGGGAAATTGTTATTAAATTAAAATTAGTAATGGCTTACCAGCTAAGAATTCACTGAGATTTGTCATACATCATTTGTGAACGATCCCCATAATTAATTTTCTCCTTTCTACTTCCAGCTCCATTCTTCAACTCAACTATTTTTGAAGAACATTTTCCAATCGTCTGCGGTTCCCTACCAAATAGTCCGTTGGTCAAGATCTCATCAATTAAAAACTACATAAACCTGGTCAACGACGACGAAAATGAACCACAAGGATGGAATTCTGACAAATGTATGAGTGAAATTTACAAAAATAACTGCAAATTGAGCAAGTTTTGTTTGGAAATTGAAAATCCATCAAGAAGAGCTTTCGGCTATCAACTGACTCATAAGTAAGTAATTAGATTATTTGGTGTCTAAAGTAAGGCGACGTGCGTTTCGCAGTTAATGATAGTTTAAAGTGGGAATATGAGCCAAAACACTTCCTTGAGGACATTGCAGTCTGTAGCCAACAAAAAAAGGCTTTGTGCTTCATTTCAAGTGCAAATGTTTCGAAAAAGCATAAGAAAAATAAATTTTCATGCTGAGTGTAATACCCGTGATCGTTGTGTCAGTATTATTAGGGTTAGCAGAACTAAACCATTCTGAGCCACTTCAGCTCATCAAAAAACAAAAAAAAAATCCGAGGAGAAAACAACATGATGAGAAATTTTGAGTCAAAAATCATTTACCATAAAGTTGACCTCCCCTCCTAATTATGTAAAGATTAGACATTTTATTAACACTTTAAAGACTTTTCATAAAACTTTGATGCACAAAAGATTTCTATGACGACAAATTTAAACTCATAATTTTAACACTTAATCCATCCACACCAGAAAAGTAGAAGTTTGTATTTATTCGGTAAAGGTTGTCGTAGCTACAAAAAATAACAAAGAAAAGAAAAATTATTAAAATTTCAAAAAATTAAGTTTATAACAAGGGGGAACACAGCATGATGGGGAAACTGTTTTTGATGCAAAATTGACACTTGTTTTGGAGTACAATGAATAATTGTTTAACAATTTAGACTTCTGTTGGAAATTATTCGAAAATTTTAGGGGGAAAACAACATGATGGGCACTTCCCACCATTTTTGAAATTGAAAAATTGTCGAATATTAACAAAAATCTTGTTGTTGTCCCCTTGATCTTGCATAAAAGCTTTTTTCAACAATTTAATAATCTTTATAGTTTTCAATCTTCAAGCTTAAATGTTACGAAATTTTGAATAGTTCATTTGTTAAGGAAGCCATTCAGTCAAAATGTCAAATGAAAGAAACCAAATTGTAATGAAAACCTTAATTTTGCTACTTACGACATTTCATAAATTTTGTCAAACAAATTATATAATCCTTTATTTAAACAATGAAAATCACGGCGGAACAAAAGAAATATGAATAAATTGATATTAACCTAGTCGGTTTTAAATCAAATGAGTGCTTGATGTGTTGTAGATTAATGTAATGGAGTAATAGAGCAAGAAAAACCTTGTCTTAATGAATTAAGGTCTAAAAAAAATAACTTACGGAAAAAAAAGACCAAGTCGAATCAAATTTTATATAAAAAAAAAAGAAAGAGAAAATTAAAGAACTAACCGTTAAGACATTTCATAACTTTCGTCATAATTGGCCTTTATTGCAAGATGCTGTGATGCAATTCCTATAAAATGTGAAATTGTAGCTTTAAGTTCCAAATCTTTTAGCAATTTTGTTCTTGTTTTTAACATTTCCGTCCCAATTCTTCTTCGTCTATAGTCGGGATGAACGGCTAAGCCAAAGTCACTTAAATAAGAATCAGTATCGAATGTTTTGTAAGCATTGAACTGTTTTTCGAGTAGATTATGCAAGCTAATGATGTCTTGGAGATCTTTCGATGTGATTCTCTAAAAATATAAAGCAAGAAATTCGTTTTTAAGAATAAAGATTTTGAGGTTAGCTTGCTGAATTTTGAGGTAAGATTACTAAATTCTGAGATTAGGTTCCTGAATTTTTAAGATTAGGTTCTTGAAATTTGAGGTTAGGTTCTTGAATTTTGAGGTTAGGTTGCTGAATTCTGAGATTAGGATCCTGAATTTTGAGGTAAGGTTGCTGAATTCTGAGGTAAGGTTGCTGAATTCTGAGATTAGGATCCTGAATTTTAAGATTAGGTTCCTGAATTTTGAGGTTAGGTTGCTGAATTCTGAGGTAAGGTTGCTGAATTCTAAGATTAGGATCCTGAATTTTAAGATTAGATTCCTGAATTTTGAGGTTAGGTTCCTGAATTTTAAGATTAGGTTCTTGAATTTTGAGGTAAGGTTGCTGAATTCTGAGATTAGGATCATGAATTTTAAGATTAGGTTCTTGAATTTTGAGGTAAGGTTCCTGAATTTTAAAATTTGGTTCTTGAATTTTAAGATTAGGTTCTCGAATTTTGAGGTAAGGTTCCTGAATTCTGAGATTAGGTTCCTGAATTTTAAAATTAGGTTCTTGAATTTTGAGGTAAGGTTGCTGAAATTTGAGGTTAGGGTCCTGAATTCTGAGATTAGGTTCCTGAATTTTAAGATTAGGTTCCTGAATTTTGAGGTTAGGTTCTTGAATTTTGAGGTTAGGCTGCTGAATTATGAGATAAGGTTCCTGAATTCTGAGATTAGGTTCCTGAATTTTAAAATTAGGTTCTTGAATTTTAAGATTAGGTTCCTGAATTCTGAGATTAGATTCTTGAATTTTGAGGTAAGGTTGCTGAATTCTGAGATTCGGATCATGAATTTTAAGATTAGGTTCTTGAATTTTGAGGTTAGGTTGCTGAATTCTGAGGTTAGGTTCCTGAATTTTAAAATTAGGTTCTTGAATTTTGAGGTAAGGTTGCTGAAATTTGAGGTTAGATTCCTGAATTCTGAGGTAAGGTTGCTGAATTCTGAGATTAGGATCCTGAATTTTAAGATTAGGTTCTTGAATTTTGAGGTTAGGTTGCTGAATTCTGAGGTAAGGTTGCTGAATTCTAAGATTAGGATCCTGAATTTTAAGATTAGGTTCCTGAATTTTGAGGTTAGGTTCCTGAATTTTAAGATTAGGTTCTTGAATTTTGAGGTAAGGTTGCTGAATTCTGAGATTAGGATCATGAATTTTAAGATTAGGTTCTTGAATTTTGAGGTTAGGTTCCTGAATTTTGAGGTTAGGTTCCTGAATTTTAAGATTAGGTTCTTGAATTTTGAGGTAAGGTTGCTGAATTCTGAGATTAGGATCATGCATTTTAAGATTAGGTTCTTGAATTTTGAGGTAAGGTTGCTGAATTCTGAGATTAGGATCATGAATTTTAAGATTAGGTTCTTGAATTTTGAGGTTAGGTTCCTGAATTTTGAGGTTAGGTTCCTGAATTTTAAGATTAGGTTCTTGAATTTTGAGGTAAGGTTGCTGAATTCTGAGATTAGGATCATGAATTTTAAGATTAGGTTCTTGAATTTTGAGGTTAGGTTCCTGAATTTTAAAATTTGGTTCTTGAATTTTAAGATTAGGTTCTTGAATTTTGAGGTTAGGTTCCTGAATTTTGAGGTTAGGTTCCTGAATTTTAAGATTAGGTTCTTGAATTTTGAGGTAAGGTTCCTGAATTTTAAAATTTGGTTCTTGAATTTTAAGATTAGGTTCTCGAATTTTGAGGTAAGGTTCCTGAATTCTGAGATTAGGTTCCTGAATTTTAAAATTAGGTTCTTGAATTTTGAGGTAAGGTTGCTGAAATTTGAGGTTAGGGTCCTGAATTCTGAGATTAGGTTCCTGAATTTTAAGATTAGGTTCCTGAATTTTGAGGTTAGGTTCTTGAATTTTGAGGTTAGGCTGCTGAATTATGAGATAAGGTTCCTGAATTCTGAGATTAGGTTCCTGAATTTTAAAATTAGGTTCTTGAATTTTAAGGTTAGGTTCCTGAATTTTAAGATTAGGTTCTTGAATTTTGAGGTAAGGTTGCTGAATTCTGAGATTAGGATCATGAATTTTAAGATTAGGTTCTTGAATTTTGAGGTTAGGTTCCTGAATTTTAAAATTTGGTTCTTGAATTTAAAGATTAGGTTCTTGAATTTTGAGGTAAGGTTCCTGAATTCTGAGATTAGGTTCCTGAATTTTAAAATTAGGTTCTTGAATTTTGAGGTAAGGTTGCTGAAATTTGAGGTTAGATTCCTGAATTCTGAGATTAGATTCTTGAATTTTGAGGTTAGGTTCCTGAATTTTGAGGTTAGGTTCCTGAATTTTTAATACAATTCTTTGATTCTCACCTTATCTTCATCTTCATATCCCTCATCTTCATCTTCGTTATTAACTTTCACACCCAAAACATTCACAGCTATAATTTTATCATTTCCTTCCTTAAAACACACAATCGATACATTTTGAGCCAAATTATGCCTGAAAATTCTCGAAATCTCAATGACTGCTAATTTGTCAAGCTTAATGTCTCTAGATTTAAATGCCGGCTCCTCAGCTACAAAATATTCCAACATAAACTTCACCGCATCATCATAACGTTCATTCGGAAGATCTTGAATTATGAAATTTGCTTTAACTGAACTGTCGGCATCAAAAGCTTTAAATTTGTGATGGATTTTTGGATGTTCGAGGGTTGCTAGTCGTTCAAATTTAATCATTTTAGGAATTTCTTTTGAACCTCTGTTTATTATCCAAACTTATGACTATATAAAATCATCAACTAAAACCAACTGTAAAACACATTAATCCATTCCATACTCGTCGATGTCATTATCTGCATTAATTTTTATCTTATCAGCTGAATCGATAAAATAATTCAATTTCCAATGTATCAATTTCAAGTAATAAACTTTAATGGAATATGGAACAATTAAATTTATGGAAGCAATTAAGTTTAGCGTTGTGGTTTTTGGGAGAATCGATCAATTTTAATTTACATTTTTCGAGAATTTTTGATGTCTGTGAATTGTTTGATGACAAATTTGTAAGACTTGTGGTCTGTTGTCGCTTCAGAGCTAGGCGCGTAGCCAGGAGGGTCTTGTCCCCCTCTTAATCATTTTAGGCCGTGCTCTCGATGCGGTTCAAAACGTTTAAGGGGGGACAAGACCCTCTTAAGGGTGGACGGGACCCTCCTGGCTATGCATCTGTTCAGATCAGAGGCGTAGTCAGGAGAAGCGACCCAACAATGATCTTTATAAAGAGTAGCTTTATGTGCACTGCATAAACTCGTTCATCAAATATCATACAAGAGGCTCCGACTGAAGCTTCCTTTCTGTCATAAGATGCCCCGAGTAAATTTAATTCTTGCAAAATTTCGAGTAGGCTGACATTGGATACTTACTTGATTATAAAGCAGTGTTGTTTAAACTTTTTCAACCTCAGTGCACCTAAATGTCGTTTCCAAAACAATTTTACGGCACACTAGTGTGCCGCGACACACAGTTTGGGCAACACTGTCCTAGGGAATAAAACTTTCTATAACTAGGGTTGTTGAGTATCCTAAGATGCCCCAAAGATCTCTAGAAACTGATACAACATCTTAAATACCTAAATACTGACGTTGATTCTGACCTTGCAGTTTTATCATTTTCTTTACTTCACATGGTTGACAATTGTTGATGTGGATTTTATTTTTTTATAATTTCCTACATAAATTGTACAATCATCGTTGCTGCTAACTGATAACAACTATCTTAATCAAAGTTTCACATGTATAAATAAAAACAAGTAATTAAGTGAGGCAGACCTTAATTTTATTTTTGTTTCAATCATTTTTGCACAAATGAGATGAATAAGAACTAGAATTTGAACACATTTGACTTATTTTGGACTCCTTGACTTAAATTTTCAAACTCATAATTTTGAAATATTTGGTGTCAATGTTAGGAAAGTTGAAATTTGGGTTGATCTTGAGAAGCTCGCTGTATCTAAAATGAGAAATGATTTTTAAAAATAATTTTTTTTAAACAATTCGAATTTTGTAACGGCTTTTAAAAATTCAAATTGTTCTATGTTTTAAAAATTTTAACTTTTGACAAACTTAAAAAAATTTTTACGAGGTTTTAAAGATTTAAATTTTTAACGGCTTTTTAAAATTCAATTTTTTTAACATTTAAATTTATAACGACTTTTCAAAATTCAAATTTTAATCGAAATTTTAAAAATTCAAATTTTTGCTGACTTTTTAACATTTAAATTTTTAACGACTTTTTAAAATTCAAATTTTAATCAAAATTTTAAAAATTCAAATTTTTAACGATTTTTTAAAATTCAAAAATTTCAAACTCACTTAATAGAAAAATTCTCTTCAAATCCAGCATTAAGTGCTGCCTTCTGACTTCCATTTGCCGTTGCATGAGTGGTTGTCACTTTCAGTCCTAGTTGCTCACATAATAGTCGTCGACATTGGAACATATGATTAGCGATTCCACGTCCACGATAATCTGGCTTAACACCAACCGTGAATGCATAAAGGATGTTGTCAACGTTGTAGTGCTTGAATGGATTAAACTGTGTATTTGCGTAGCCCATGACGCCAAAGATGTCTTGGAAGTCCGTGCTATTGAACTGGAATTGATGAATGTGGGAAGTTGAGATAAAATTCAGGAACCGATCAATTCAAGACCTAAGCCAATTAAAATCTACTCACATCATAATCAGCCATGTATTCCTTCTCATCCTTAACAGCCAAAATATTCGTCGATATAATTTCATCAGAATTTTCCTTAAAACAAGCCAGCGATACTCCATTTTGCATTGTTTTGCGAATCGAATTTAAAAATTCCTCGACAGCTTCTGGCTTATTAATCACATTTCGTGTCCTTGACATTGGCTCATGCTTCAAAAATGCCCCAGTATTAAATTGAATTCCTTCTTCAATTCTGTCTTTTGGATAATCTTGAATCCTGTACTCAACATCCGTCTTTCCATCAAGATCCAATGCTCGGAACGTCCGATAAGTCTTTAAATTTCCAACTGACGAGAAAAGTCGTCTGATTTGTGACATTTTTGAATTCATACTGAACTAATTTTTTTTTAATCGGTTCTAAAAATATTTGCGGCATGAGAGAAAAAATAAGTTTGAGGAAAATCAACACAAAAATACTCGCACGTGATTGTAATGAATATTCTCTGTTGACAGTTGTGTAAAGTGCTTCTTGTTATGTGAAGATAAGAGTCAGTCTGTCGAGAGATTTTATTGTGCGTGGTGCGATGACAAAAAACGTTTTGAAGCTTAATGAATGAATTGTTTTTGTGATAATTCAGCTTTTGGTATTTTTTTATCAAATTTTGAGTTAATTATTTGAGATCTATTGACCCGAGTGGACACAGCTAGTTGAAATCCATTATTGGACAGTCATTTATCAGTCTTTTAACTTGCCAAAATTTATAAGACATACAGAACTAGACGTTAACTAGACAAGTGCAATACCTATGTCCAGTTAAATGGAAAGCGCAAAAAATGTCATTAGTCGTCCCTAAGAATAGTTGCAAAGGCAAGTCAATGGATACTCGCCATGAATAGGCAAGTCAATGGCAAGCTTTTAACTAGTTCTTTGTATACTCGGGTAAGTTTTTTTGATTCCAAAATTGGAACTAATTGGCACAAAAATTGCATAATCAATCCTTCATAGGCCGCTGCAATTGAACATTCATTTTATTAAGTTTGCAGCTTATTTGGTATTAATTTGATTATCTGAACTATTTTATAAAACTTGTTGACTAAGGTAGGGTGCCCCAGGTATGAGGGGTAGACAACATTATGAAAAATTGGTGGAAAATTTCTGATCAATTTTCCACAGCAATTCGAAGTTTTCCATCGTTTACCCACAACTGGGGAAAATCATGCTTTTTCCCTGTAATATTGTCTTCCCTTGCCCGGAAAGCAGAGCTCGAAGTCAACTGGAGATTTTCATCGATTTTGTTCCCTAAGTCGAATCCGAGTCGACTCAGCTCTATACAAAGTTTCATCGACCTCGAGCTTTGCCGGATAGCTCCAAAAATCAACCCATAAAATCAAACAAATTTTTCACTTTATCATTCCAGACTGCTTTACCACCTTCTAAGCCACATTCGATGCAAAAATGAAAACTTTTCTAAAATTTCCCAACAAATTTGTGCTGAAATTCTCCAAGAATCCAAATTCATCCACAAAGTCATCAACATTTTATCAGGCTCTAAGGATCTCTTCATGGAACAAGTCTTTCTCTGCTCATTTGTTGGATTTGGAGAATTTTTAAACAATAATTGGATATCCGATATTTTAGAGTGGCAAATGAAGTCCGGGTGCTTCAGCTTTGATGGAATAAATTGTTCATCGCACATGAATGGATTAGCTGCAGCTAGTTTGATGTACTTTGGAAGAGTTTCTGATGATATTTTCATCTAAATCAAGCTATTGGAGCTTGGTTTGGTTTATAGGTTTACCCTGGGCACCCTGCAATATTGGATATGAAACCAGGATAGGGTGCCCTAGTTAGCTCTAGGAACCGAATCTTTATAAGCAACTTCCTTACTCTGAATGTTTAAAATTATTTTAATTTTTGTATATTTTTGAAATTATCAAAAAAATATCAAATAGCTCAAAATAAATTAAAAATATAGTTTTACTTCATCACATCTCAACACCTGTCAGCTGTCCCATTAGCGCAGTGGATAGCGCACTGGACTTCTAATCCAGGGGTCCTGGGTTCGATCCCCAGATGGGATGTGATGAGGTTTTCTTCTTTTTGCTAGATTTTGTTATGTTTTTGGGTATAGTTTGGTTTTTATTGAGATTTAAAGGATTTTGAGTGATTTGAAGTAGGTTTGCAGGAAAATCCAGCAGTTTTAAATTGGTAAGGCACTGTTAACTTAGTGTATGGGTTCAAAATAATCAAAAATCATCTTTTTGATTCAATTTAAAAAAAATTTTTTTCGAAATTAAATTAATTTAACCTTCAATCCTCAAAGAAATGAGCCATAGACCTCAAACCTACTTCAAATCACTCAAAATTTTAAAAAACCTTAGTAAAATCATTCCAGATTCTTCATATTTAACCAAACTATTAAAAAAGAAGAAAACCTCGTCACATCCCATCTGGGGATCGAACCCAGGACCCCTGGATTAGAAGTCCAGTGCGCTATCCACTGCGCTAATGGGACATCAGACAGGTGTTGAGAAGAACTGAATAAAATACATTGATGTTTAAAATATTTACAAACTGGAATGCCTCAGTTGAGCAAACATAGGAACATGATAAGAGATTGCTCATAAATTCTGGAAACAAAAGAGAATTAAATTCGGTGTGATAATTTTTTAACCAAAAAAAAAATAATAATTTTTATGAAAAGAGTTTGTCAGGAGTTGGAGGTTGGCAGGGGTGTAGCCAGGAATTTGAAGAGGGGGAGGGGGGGGCAAAAAAAATTTTATACAGAAAATTCAAAAGGAAAATGGCGATTTTTATGATTTTTTCATAAAACTCCTAGCAAAATGAAAAAATTTCTGTTAACGTCGGGGATTTTGTCCCCCAAATCACACCCCCCCTCCCCTCCACAGGTTACGCGCCTGGAGATTGGGGTGTAGAAATAAAAAAAAATACATATGTTATTATTTTCTGTATTTATTGTCAAATCATTGAATAAAAATTTATATTGTGGCTTAAAAAAATAAAAATAAAAAAATGAAGACTTTTAGCACAGAATGAAAAATTTGAATTAATTTGCATCCTTGAGCAAGTACGGAATGCAGAAAAATTAAAAAGGTCATTTAAATATTTTCAGGATCTACATTGGAAGTTAAAAAGTCAGAAACAGAACAAAGGATAATAATTAAAGCATGTTGAAGACAGTTTTAAGCAAAAGAGAGAGGTTTGATCCCTTAAAGCACCTCTACCTTGAACTACAATTCCCAAATAAACCCACCTTGATTAAGAATTAATTAAAAAAATTAAAAAGAATTCAAAACAAAAAACTTAGCCAAATTATTTGACATTAAGTTGACATGATAAGCAAAAGAAACAAAAAAAAATTTTACATCGCACATCGACTGATCATCAAATTAATCGCGATTCCTGCATTAAAAGCTCCATTTTATTTTACTTTTTAAGTCGAGTAGACTAAATGAGAAAATTTACCAAAGATGTGCATAAGCCATGGATTTGCAGGTGTTGGAGCAGGTGCTGGACTTTGAGTTGATGGTTCCACTTGAATTGATGACTCAACAGCTTGTTCTTGAACTGTGGGATCAATTGTAACAAGATTTTCATCAGCTTCTGTCGTTGGTTCTGGTTCTGAGGATTTAGTGACAACGTCTGAATTTTCTGATGTCACTGAGTCTAAGATTTGGGATGCAGATGCTGCAGAGTCACTTAGATTCTCTTTTGATTGATTTGGAACAACCATTGGAATCATTTCTGATTGATTTTGGGGCTCTGAACCTTCTGTATGATTATGAGCTGAATTGGAAGCTAAGATGGTCTCAAACTTTGGATTGTGCAATGGATCCGAGCTATTCACACCTTCACCCACAGCATTTACATACTGCTTGCCATCAATTATTGGATTAACGCTCTGATTATTAAGTTCAGACTGATTGCTAGGTCTTGGCTGTTGGTTAATTTCTGGCTGAATGTTGCCATCAGTTGAATTATTTTCTTGAACTTCTCTTTGTGGTTGTGACTTACTGTCGCTTGCTATTGCACTGTTGCCTTTATTTCCTGCTTGATCAAGGTCATGCACTTCTTCTGAGCTATTGATTAACAATTCAATATTTGGCTCATTTGTCTGCTGACTTGAAGCTATTGGAGCTGCACTTGTGTTTGACAAGAACTCTAGAGCTTCAAGCGGAGGATCATGCACAGTTTCTTTAGATGGTATCTGCTCAACATTCACAATAGCAATGTCAATATGAGGATCAATTGAATGTTGTTTTAAAAGTGGCTGAACATCTCCAACATCCAAACCAGGCTCAACAATTTCTGATTTCTTTGATTTCGAATCATTATTTTGGTTTTCTAAATCATTTCCAGACTTTGAATCACATTTCGCCATTTTTTCAGAATACTCCGGGCATTTAGGTGGTTTAGTGTAAGCTTTAGGATTAACAATTGGTCCATAGGTAACCAACTTTTGTAGAAATGCAATCACATGTGATATTTCCTTTTGAATATCATTCATTTCTGTTTCTGAGGTATTGACTATTAAAGGAAGTGAATGGTGTACTAATGTTGAATTTGCTGAGTCGTCAGAAGGAGGTTGGTGAGCTTCATGATGATTCTTGGTAACTGGATATGATTCTAATTTGCTTGTAGTTGGTGTGAATTCTGATGACTTTGGATTTTTGTCATGTGACTTGGAATGTGAATGAGATTGTTTATTTTCTGTTGGTTTTGGAACATGTTTTGGTTTTTGATGCTCATCTGTTGATTTCAAGTTTGAATCTTCTGTTGAATTCGAAATTAAGTCTTTGTTTCTTGGAACATTGTCTTTTAAATCTGGACCATTCGATTCTTGATCCTTTTTATTGGATTTTTCTGAATTTTGGTCCTTTGAATCTGTGTGTTCTAAATGAGGTCTTGCTTCTTTTTTAGATCGTTCTTGCGGAAATTCATCTTTTTCTAATGGAACATTTTTTGCACTATTCTTGTCTGATTTATGTTTTGAATCTAAGTTTTCGTCCTTTACTTGATCTTTAATATGTTTTGAATCATCAACTTGCAAAGAGTGTGATTTTTTTGATTTTTTATTGGCCTGTGTCGGCTTAGAAATGTGACTCTTTTTGGATTTCTCAACAATTTTACTCTTCTTCGAGTCCACAGACTTATTTGGAGCATTATTATGTTTAAGAGTATCAGCTTTATCTTCTGGATGTTCAGAATGAATCTTTGGACTTGACTTAATATTCAGTGATGAGTCAGATGGTTTGGGATGGTAATGAACTCTTGCAGGTATACTTGGATGGTCGTTTGACTTGGTTTGGTTGTCTTTTGGGTTTGTTTGTTTGTCTGTTGATTGAATTGGGGTGTCTTTTATTTTAGATTGATTGTCTTTAGGTTCAGTTGAATTATCTTTTAGAATAGTTGGATCTTTAGTTGAGTTCGGTTCTGATTTGACTCTTTTATTTTGTTCAAAGTCATCTTTAGGGTCACTTTTTGGTTCATGTTTCAAAACAATTTCGATTTTAGGATCAACGTCTGTTTTATTTTTATGTTCAGACTTAGAACTATGAATTTCATTTCCTTTCTCATTTTCAGGAGTATGTCCATCAAGTGTGTCCTTCGATCGACCCACTTTAAGTCTATTATGATGCTCTGGTCTAGAAATATCATGATGACTTTGATTTTTAGGTTCGTAAACAGTTTGTGACATTCCAACATTCTCAGCATTCAAAATATCAACATTTTCTTCTGATTTTGGATGTTTTTGATGCTTGTTGTCCAGTTCTTTAACAGATTTGTGATTCTTACTTCCTCTCTGATAAGACACCAGCCATAATCTATTATTATTCTCATCCACATAATAACTGAAAAATAAAATTCATAAATCGTCATGAAAATCATAGTAAATTTAACATCAGCTTACCATTTCTGTCTCCTAGCTACAACAGGACTGATTCCTATTGCCAAAAAATAACAAGTGCACAGTAGTGCTAGGTACAATACCAGCCTCATCTTTAAAAACTTTTTTATAAACTGTCGATCTTGAATGAAAATTTTTCTTTTTCCTCTCAAATAAAATTACACGTCATTCTATTTACCGCAGCTAATAATCCCAACTGAGTAAAGATCAATATTTGTTCAAAGATCGAATGGTTTTGATGTACTTAATTGATGGATATTTGTGTAAAGTAAATTGTTTACAGAGTCATTGTTACATTATAGAAACAATTGAACCTGATTTAAAGCTTCAATTGGATAATTTAAAAGGAATTTTACTTTAAATTCCAAACTGTCTTAACTAAGAAGTAAGGAATGTTTTCGAAAATATTGTCAAGCGACACTTGTATCAACAGATAGAAAATAGAGCGTAATAGAAAGTATTTCAATGTTTATCTTAAGCTATGACACGTCTACGCACATTTTGCCTCGTTAACTGAATTCTCTGGAAATAAATTGAACCTCACATCCTTAAAGACGTGATTCGTAAACCCTTAAACCCACATCAAATCTCTGAACTTTCTCTAAATCAATCCAGATTCACCAACCTTAAATAAATCAAGCAAAAAAATAATAACCTCGTCACATCCCATCTGGGGATCGAACCCAGGACCCCTGGATTAGAAGTCCAGTGCGCTATCCACTGCGCTAATGGGACATCTGACAGGTGTTGAGAAGAACTGATGAAAAAATGTTCAGTTTTTATTCAAAAGTCTTTATTTAGGTTTCTTAAAATGTGTTCGAAGTGGAAAATGGAACCTTATGTAGGGCATTAACTTACTGATACCTCTCTTATCAGAACAATATGCTAACTTAGGCATTTATCGATGGATTATATGCAAATGATGGATCTCGATTTGGAAAGTATGATTGTTGTGGTTGTTGATTTCCATTTTGGTAACCTTCAGGATAATGACCCATTGCTTGTGGCATTTGTTGGGGATATCTTGGTGCTTGCCATGGATTTTGTTGAGAAAATCTATGTCCATGCATCTGTTGAGGATTTGAATATTCTGGGATCTGTTGAGGAAGTTGCTGACCAGGATTGAAAGTTGGAACAGATTGTCGATTCTGGTTGGCTGGTTTGGGGTTCTGTTGAGGAAGTTGCTGACCAGGATTGAAAATTGGAACAGATTGTCGATTCTGGTTGGCTGGTTCGGGGTTTTGTTGAGGAATTTGCTGACCAGGATTGAAAATTGGAACAGATTGTGGATTTTGGTTGGCTGGTTCGGGGTTCTGTTGAGGAATTTGCTGACCAGGATTGAAAATTGGAACAGATTGTGGATTTTGGTTGGCTGGTTCTGGGTTCTGTTGAGTAGTATTCACTGTTGGAGTTGGTTGAAGACTCTTCGGTGATAGCTCATAGTCCAGTCGAGAAAGATCTAGTTGCTCTTCAAAATGACTCTCATCAAGTGGATCTAAATCAGAGAGTTCATGATCAATTGAAGAAGGTTGTTTTGCAAAAACTTTATGATTTTTATGTTCTTTTGAATCATTATTATCAAAAAACGGAGGATCCGGTAGAACAATTTCAATCATGTCTTGGTCATTGGTGACAAAAAGCTTTCTCCTTGTTGCTGATCCACTTCTGCTTCTTCAGTGTATTTATATTTGGGTCCATCTTTTATTTCAGCTTCATAAATTTGTTTAGGAACTAAACCTTAGTCTATTATTATCCTTATCTACAAAATAACTGTTAAAGATTCAAATGAAATAAAAAAAAATCCAGTTAAATATTTTAATTTACCATTTCTTTCTCTTGGCCTCAACAGGATCAACTCCTATTGTAATAAGTAACAAATATAAACCAGTGCTAGATACAAAACTAGCTTCATCTTCTAGAATAGTTTATTAAATGCCAAGTTTTAGATAAATTTCAAATGCAATACGTCAGCATTTTTTAAAAATTCATCTGTGCAAAGATCAATAAAATGTGTCTTTGAACTTCAATTTGACTGTTCCTGTATTGTTACTCACAAACTTAAGTTATTAAACTTCGAATTAGTATTGCTCCTTAGTTGTCGTACTAAGCTTCACATAACCTCAAAAATCTCTATCATTAGAACCTTCATAAAAGCAGACGGGAAATATGAAAGAAAACTTTAAACATCTGTTTAAACAAAAATTGTAGCGACCAAAATTTCATATATTCCAAATTCATAGCTGAAAAAACAACTTAATTAATAGTATGGCTGCTTTAAAGACAAGTGTTGGTTTTATACTTTTATTATCAAAATACATTTGACTCGTGTTTTATGCATAGTAGAAGAATATGAGGCAAGGTATAGGTTAGGTATAGGTTAGGTATAGGTTAGGTATAGGTTAGGTATAGGTTAGGTATAGGTTAGGTATAGGTTAGGTATAGGTTAGGTATAGGTTAGGTATAGGTTAGGTATAGGTTAGATATAGGTTAGGTATAGGTTAGATATAGGTTAGATATAGGTTAGGTTTAGGTTAGGTATAGGTTAGGTATAGGTTAGGTATAGGTTAGGTATAGGTTAGGTATAGGTTAGGTATAGGTTAGGTATAGGTTAGGTATAGGTTAGGTATAGGTTAGGTATAGGTTAGGTATAGGTTAGGTTTAGGTTAGGTATAGGTTAGGTATAGGTTAGGTATAGGTTAGATATAGGTTAGGTATAGGTTAGGTATAGGTTAGGTATAGGTTAGGTATAGGTTAGGTATAGGTTAGGTATAGGTTAGGTATAGGTTAGGTATAGGTTAGGTATAGGTTAGGTATAGGTTAGGTATAGGTTAGGTATAGGTTAGGTATAGGTTAGGTATAGGTTAGGTATAGGTTAGGTATAGGTTAGGTATAGGTTAGGTATAGGTTAGGTATAGGTTAGGTATAGGTTAGGTTTAGGTTAGGTATAGGTTAGGTATAGGTTAGGTATAGGTTAGGTATAGGTTAGCTATAGGTTAGGTATAGGTTTGGTCTAGTTTCTGTCTATGTAAGTTCTAGTAAGACCTGCCATAAGTCAATATCAAGTCAATATCAAGTCTTTAGGCAAGTTCCATTCATTTTTGAATAACCTCAAACATTTTCTTCATCATTTGATTCTCAATCTTATCAAAATGTCTTGCTAGCATAGTTTCAAAGTCGGCAATTTCAATCTCATCTCGTGGATCATCCTCTTGACTTAAATTCGTAATCAATCGTTCTCCAAAAGTTACGATTCCACAAAAAGTACGGAAATTTATTGCTGTGTCATTGTCCAAAGTATGTAGCTCCAGGAAATTTTCAATTTCTTTTACGTTCTCCACAGTTGCATGAAATCCGAGAACCTCATGAAGTGCTTCATTGAGCTTATCAATAGGCATGACTCTTGCAGCCAAGAGACTTTCCATAAAAGCTTTTCTCATCTCCAAATTCGCATACAAATCATCATGTTCAGCTTCTTCACGATTCATTTGACTTCTTGGCAGATATTTGACAAAGAGTCGATGGTAAAGCTGCTTCTTGTCACTTTCAACATAGACATATTTGCTGAGATAATTAAATGGCTTCAATTTTGACATTTCACGGATATCAATTGGAAGCTCAAATCGAGCTGATGATCGTGAGAATCTTCTCGGTAAGTGCTGCCATTTTTCATTGCTGTACTCTTCCAGGTTAAGCGATTGTTTCATTTCACGAACCGCGTCAGAGTCCATACCGAGGCGTTCAGGTGAAATAGAACGAAATGCTTCTTGAAGGGTTCGATGGCGCTGTAAAAGGAATGATGAAAGATTGTAAGTTTTAATTTCACAGCCAGAAATACATACAGACTGTCAGACAGCTAACCACCAGTAACTGAACGGTAAACTCTTTTGGCAATCAGATATACAGCAAATCTTTAAACAGTAGCTAATACTCACATACCGATCAAAGACGCACTCAACAACATCAACATTTAGTCCCATTTTCAGTGACTTCAGCAAGTCGTCAGTATGAAAAACATTCTTCTGTACCAAATCCTCATTTCCATCTTTTCTTATACTTTTAGCTGCTGCAGCTGTTGCAGCACTATCTGGAACAAGTGAGTGTCTGCTCGATAAGTTTGGAGAATCTTGATCTCCATCGTCAATTTGAGCCACGTGAGTCTCTGGCTCATTGCTAGGCTGAAAAGTGATGACTTGCAGACTCGATTTTGATTTTTTACGACGTAACTTTCCTCGTCGTCGGACAACTTCGTCATCTTCATCATCTCTGGCATAAATGCATGACATTGTTGGATCATCAATCAGATCTTCAGTTTCGTTGATTATGTCATGAAAAATATATTCAATTTCCTCTTCCTCCATCTCAGCAATATCATCAATTTCTGGATTCTGTGATGTCCCAATAATCTCAATTTCATGCTTAATCGTTGGATGTGTCATCCACGACGAAGATGTCGAGTCCTGTCGTCCAGGTTGTGAAAATTCCGATGATGCATTCCAATATAAAGTTTCTTGTGAGTGACTTCGTCGTAAATCCAAAATAATTTGCTTCCGTTCTTGCTCATTACTGACCGGTTCTGGAGTTACACAACGACGAGCACCAAGATGTGATGCTCCCATGGCATGTCCTCGAGTTCGAGCACTTGTAGCGCAACTTGGTGTTGGTGTTAATGGACGTGAGTCAGTGTCTGTGAAACGACGAAAAAATTCTTCAGGAACATGGTCGGGGATGTCAATAACGTGCTGTTGGACATAAGTTGGAGTTGTCTTGGCTGACATTGTGGTCTGTAATGATGGAACTATAGCTTATAAAGTCATAGAATTATTTAGTGCAATTCTTACCCATTTTTTTCCTCTTTTAGGATGATTGCAGAGTATAGAGCAGCCTTTAGCGTACGGATTGTACAAGGATGCATACGGTTTGAGTGAAAATGGAACTGGTCGAGTTATGGCACACGGTAGAAGTGAATTGATGTCGATTGTTCTCTTTCTGCGTGGTATCTTCTTACATGGACTAACGACTAGACCGGATCGGGTTGTCATTGTAGATTTGGGAACTATGAAAAAATTCAAGGAAAATGAGGAACTTAAAGGTTATGTAGAATTAAATAAAGCATACAATAATTTGCTTAAATTTAAGGTTTCATAGAAAAATGGTTTTTGTTTACTTTAAATAAATAATAGCGAATTTCTATGGCATCAGCTACATAGAATTATGACAATAGACCTTTAACTTTTGACACCTGTTGAGTCTGTAAAATTTTAAACAATTGAAATTGTAAAGAGAGGATGAATGTGGGTTGGGGAAAAGTCTGAAATGAGATTTAGTGATTACATCCTTAATGCGTTATATCATAAAACATCTGTCGCTTTAATAAAGTAGCTAATGGCTCAGAATCTCTCCGTGGGAACTTTAGCTCTTTAAAACATTTCATTTGCATTAACGGGAAATGTTCCATTTTCCTTCGTTTCATTTTTTGGTGTTCCTAATCAGACACATCAGTCAAGACACACATGATTCATTTCTATCATGCAAAGCTTTTCAGGAAAAGTATGAGTGGGCAAAAGTCCCAATGAAAAATGTCCATTGGCAATCAGACCAAACTCCTTTGTATGGATCAGTTTTTGATACAAAATAAAAATAGCCACATGCTTTTTTAGAACTTAAAGTCTATTCATTAAATACTTTGGAACATAAAACTTTGTAAATCTGGAACATTTGGAATTTGAAACACTTTTTTTGTCATTTCCAATTACTCACATAGAGACTCAATAGAACCTTTTAATTTCTCTAAACCTTAATAATCAATTTTTATTTGAAAATTCTCACCAATTTCATTAAACCGTCAAAAAATCATCAAAAAAGAATATCCAAGTGTCATCCATCCCATCTGGGGATCGAACCCAGGACCTCTGGATCTCTTCTAGCTGAATGCTTTAGAAGTCCAGCGCGCTATCCACTGCGCTAATGGGACACTCGACTGATGTTTTTCTCGTTGGGGAAAACCACTTCACTTTACTGAAGGAACTGAAAATTAACGAGAAAAAGATTTGAATAGAGCGAAATGCTCAGGATTTTTAAAATTACTTTAAGATTTTTTTTTACCTGAATGTTTAATGTAATGAGATGTAGATTTCGTATTTTGGATGCAATTTTTGTTATATTTAAATTTGGAGCAGGTAAATTGTTGTTTTAGTTTATTTACACCACAAGTCTTCATCCCGAAGGTTATTTTTGCCGGGAAATCTGATCTTGATAATAATAATTAGTGGTTTATTTCTGTTCCAACGAGGAAATCCAAGATGTGTTAAAAAGTGGGACTCAAAAAGATGAATGGAAATATTTTTTTACCAAAAGCAAAACAGTTTCCTTAAATAAGTAATTGGGTTGTTAACGTGCTCTCTTGCCATCTATAAAGTCATATTTGATGATCATTTCTGAATGGAGCTTGTACAGGTCTTCTTATAACATGTCTAGCCCATTGAAAAATTCCAGAAGCACTGATTTATTCTGAATGATAGAACTAGTATCTCCAGTGTAGCCTATTTAGATCTGGAACTTTTTATGTGTCCTTGTTGCTGTTTGTGCACTGTTAGAACAGTTTATTGTAACTCTATACAGCCAGCGAAGTAAAGTAAGTAAGTAAACAGCCTTAATGATCCTGGTAAATTCCTTACTTTCACTAAAGCTATTACTTCGAGCCAAGAAACAAGAGAAATGTCGCAGCAGATCCAGAGACTCATCAAAACTGTATTAAGCATACTGACTATGCTGACCAACTGTGCACTTTCGAGCGGGACAATCTCGCATTTTTAAACACAGTCTTTTTTTTCATATTTCAATAATAATGACAATAATGTCATTCTTTATTGAAAAGACTGAATTAATTAAAATTGATATCTTTACATTTTTTTTAAATCTATTATTTTTTCTCTCTCTACAAAGGAAAAAGCCACCTTAACTAGTACTTAAACTAGTTAAAAAGGCATAAAAAACCTTTGTAGTTTCAGAGAGTCTTCTTAAATCTAAGTGCGAGAATAAAACCGTTACATTCAAATTACAAGTTTAAGCTAACTTTTTTGCTCAGTTTTGCTCAATTTTCCGTTAAATTTCGAATTAAAAATGTGAGTGTGGCTGAACGTAAACAGAAATAAATAAATAAAATTGTGGTGAATAAAAAGTGTGAACTATTTTACATAATTAAGCTTCTGGATGAAATCTGTTGCCTAGACGATAAGGAAGCATTTTTTTCGAGCAGAAACTTCTTAAGACGCATTTTGAAGACGATGTTGGACTTAATTTCTCGGATTTCTTTCGGTAGACAGTTAAATAAGGATGGTCCAATAATTTCGATATCGTTTTTCCTAGTTGTTAAGTTATAACTTTTTGTTTTCAGGAGCATTTGACGTAATGATTGTAGCCTTTCCACAACAAACAGTGTCTCGTCATTCGAATGCAGTGACTTATGGACCAAAGAGCAGACCATATAAAAAATTATTCCCATTATTGGAAGTCTGGCCTAAAGTCTTTAATTTCCTGCATATTTGAACCTAATTTTCTTGAAAAATGCTTGAAAACTTGGTCTGTCTAGCTTTTACAGTGCTTAAATTGGGTCATCTTCCAATTTTTGACCAAAAATCGGCAAAAACCGATAGACAGCCTGAGAATATACACTCATTCGTTATCTTATAGTATCCAGCACCAATGTGACAAGAAGTAATGATGTTTCATACCTTAAACACCTTTATTGCATGAACCTTAGTTTCAATATATTTAATCATGCATCACAAATTGCTTTAGATGCCAATAAATGCAGTTAACATTCTCAAACCTTGATAAAATTCAACCTCATATGCAGTTTTCTACAATCTCTTACATTTCTCATGTGTTGATGTTGGTTAAGATGTTTTATTGACAACACATTTAAAGAATTACAGCTGTGAATAGCAAAAAGTGCACGTTGTGCTGTTGTCAAATGTTTCGTTGTTTTTGTTTTGAACATTTAAGATTATATTGAGTCAGTAGTTTTAAAGAGATTGTTTACTAAACACGACAAACATCTGAGAAATTTAATTTAATTTTTGTGAAATTTTTAAATCCTGTTCGACATGAATTTGTCAATTTTCATCACAATTTTGTGCATTTTTGTCAGTTTTGCAACTTCAGAATTCTTCAACAACCTCAATTCAGATGAATTATTCAATTTAGATGCAGACTTTCCACAAATGCACAGCCACAGCTCATTTTCATCAAGTTCAGGGTCAAGTTACTCATCATCTTCATCATCCAGTTCTAGCTTCTCATCCAGCTCAAGTGATCCAGATGCAAACTTTAAATCTTCATCGTCCAGCAACTCAATTTCAGTCAACGCAAAATGCAGCGGAAAAAATGGAAATGAAAATTGTGAAGGTGAAAAAGTAACGCATATAAATTCAATGGATTGCGACTCGTTGAGTCCAAAGTCATGTGTGACGAAAAATAATAGGAAAATTGAGAAACTTTAAATTTTGGATGATTTTGGATGATAATAAAAATAATAATAAAATGTCAATTAATTAAGTTTTATTTAATAAGCTTTACTTGAGCAAGGTTGATGATTTATAGGTTTTTGAGGGCCTTATTTAGACTATTGAACGCATAGCTGTTTTCCCCCTGCGTCCCTAATAATCCCACACTTGAATTGCTTCAAAGTATCTTAAATTCTTAATTAGTATCCACCACAGAACTCATCCAGTCGCGATAATAAACAAGCTTTGTATAAACTGATGGCACTTCTAGTCCACAACTGACACCAAATGATACAATTCCTAAAACAGTTGAGACTTCATACATCGTTGAGATGAAAGTTTTGTTGAAATTACTTGGAAATACTTCATATGCTGTTTTAAACTGCAGTGGACTTCCGGAATCACCAAAACTAGAAATTAAAGTTATTTTATGATATTATTTATGTAAGAAACCAGATGTTAAGCTTGATAAGCTTTTCTATTGATTACATTAGTAGTGGCCAACCTGTTTTGTGCCACAGTACATTTTGGTGGTAAGCCATGACCAAAACAAGGCTGAGGAACTGATCAACATTATCAAAAATGATTAAAAATGATCAAAATCTTATTAATCAGTTCCGCACTCTTCGACCGAAACTGCACGAATTTCCCAAATTTTTTATTGCTCACGGGTTGGCAATCACTAGACAAAATGTATCAGAAGTCCAAAAACTTACCAAGTATCCGGCACATTTCCACCAAATGCTTGACTTTTGACACAAAATTGACTGTCAAGTATTCCATTTGGGAGCCTGTCGTTGTCCTCAAAGGTCTTGTTACATTCTTCATTAGAAACCAGATCGACTTTGAGTTCTAGTAAAACGTTTGAAGCAACTCCATCTTCAGTCTGAAAGTGGTTTAAAGAGGTTTAAAGGTACCGTTCACTTATTACGTAACATTTTTAAAGAGAGAAGAAGGGGGGGGGGGGGGGATTATGTGACAAATCTGGTGTTTGGGGAAGAAGAAGTCTAAAAAGTCGTTGTTTCATGTTACGTAATGGGTGAACGGCCCCAAATAAAAAAAAATCTGTCAAAAGCCACTTGATTTGATAGTCTTGGATGATGTCTTTTAAAATAACTAGAATTTTCCTAAATCTCACCTCTCCATATCCAGCAACAGTCCATTCAGTAAACAGTCCATTTTTATCAGACCCCAAATCATCAATGCAAGATGGAACAACGAATTTATTGAACAAAACAGTTTCAACTGTCTTAATCATTGCAATGTCATGATAATTAAGGTTAGACTTGTAAAGTGGATGTAAGATGAAATGCTGAATGCGTAGCTGCTGGGCTGTGTCATCATCTTCACTTGTTAGAAGGAATCTGTCACCTAGACGAACTGTGTCTGCTTGCTTTCTAGAAATTAGAAGGAGATTTAACAAAAAAAAACCCGATTTTACTATCCCTAGTGCCATAAAGCTATTAACTATGAAGCCCTAAATGCTTAAAAAATTAATTTTACTCACTTTTCACGAAACTTGCAATGTGCAGCTGTAACTATGAATTTTTCAGTAATTATTGACCCTCCACATCCATAAAAATATTTTTTATTTGGTTGCGTCCATCCAATTGCTGCCATATTCGGACGATCGCCTCTTTTCACGAGCTCTGCAAAATATGCAGCTACACCAATAAGTCGATAGGTTCCATCAGGATCTTTGACGCAATTGAAGCTCCTCAAGTCCCAGAAATTTTTTGCTGTTGAAAAAAGGTTTTATGGTTGAGGCACTTAAGGGTCGTGCAGTTATGACGTCAAGCATTTAGAGGGGAGGGGGGTGGGGGGGTTTAAAAAACCTGTGACATAATGTGACAGGGGAGGCAGGGGGTCAAAAAATAAGGTTTTTTGATAGACGTCATAAGTAAACGGCCCTTTAAGGATGTCTAAAATCAGCAGTCTGAGACTGGCCGTTGTTAAAAGCAATTGATAAATTTAATTAATTGGAAGTATTAAAGAGCCTGGGTCATCTCATCATTGCATATTGGGTTAGTTCTAGAAACCAGCCTCGGAATATCATCTTAGTTTTGACTAAATCCATAGAACCCTAGTTGATAACAAAACCATCCTATACTCACTCATTTTATTAAGTTGATCTAATCTATCACAATTTTCCTTATTTAATGGAAGTCTCTTGGCATTAAGTTCTTCAGCAAAATGATTTGGATTGATTGAAGAGTTCCTGAACTTTAAAAATTCATTTCGACAGGTTTTGAAGTCTAAAATATTTTTTCTAGTCGGCTTGTCATCAATCTTGTCACTAATCGTTAATTTTGATGTCTCGACATCATTTGGACAGCAAATTATGCTGTTCTGCACACTATCGCCATAGTTGCAAATTATTAAATTGGATTTATTTTTTCGAAACTTTTCAAATTCACTTCGGCACTCTGAAATTTTTTTGCATGTGCCATAAACATCTTGATTGAGTTTACAGTCGTCATTTTCAGGTATAAATTTAAGATATTCAATTTTTTGAGCATGAATATTAACCGCAAATATTAATATCAAGTTCAGAAAGTAAAGAATCTTTGATGTCACTTGCATTGGAATTTCCTGCAATGTTAAACCTGTTTTAATGAAATATTCACTTGCTGTAACTTAAACTGTGGGTTTGTGACTTAATAATTGACTTTAACTAGATTATTTTATCGCAACACCTCCAACTTAACAATTGATAGTGAAAAGATTTAAATAAATATTTATGTTTGATGATTTATCCAGCAGTGAAGTAAAAATTAACACCTTAATCTAACTGAGGTTCCAAAACAACTGATTCATCAGTCTAATGTTTTTTTTATTGCTGTTCTTATAAATCTTACAAAACCGGAATAGCTTCTTGTCTGAGGTCATGGATGACTGTTGAATATGAATATGACTGTTGAATATAAATGGTAGGACTTGGATTTATTCTTCAGTGGATTTCCAGCAATCACCTCCCCCCCCCCCCCCCACCCTCTTCTTTGGCTACATCTTCAGCATCAGCTTAAAAATTCAGAGAATTCCGATTGTTTGTTGTTTAATTGCGCCAATGTTTTCATGCTTTGACAGTTAAATTTAGTCAAGACACCAAATTCAGAATCAACGCAGCTTTAAAATATTTTTGAGAAAAAATTCTAATTTAAAAATTCTGAAAAGTGAGAAAGTTCACCATAAAAGAGAACTTTTGTGCTAAATCTTAAGATTCTCTTATTTGACATTTATTGGAGGTGATGTTGAACAATTTAGATCAAAAAGTCTTAATCATCTGGTTTTTAAAAATGACGACATTGAGAATTCTTTGAAATTGAGTTCATTAGCTTAATTTATTGTTCTTGGTACGAAAGCTAGCTATGCTACTAGAGTTTCGACTCAAAAAACTTCTCTGGTCTTAGAGTCAATACTCATAAACCACTTAAAAGACAAATCTTCAATAAAGGAGTAAATATGCTTTCGAGTGAGCTGAGGTGGCTCGGTGGCGGAATGGTTTAGTCCTTCGGTACCTAATTATTGCAATACTGACACAACAATCATGGGTTCGAGACTGGATATGGGAAATTTTTCACTTGTTCTTTGTCGAATCATATGTACTGGAAATGAGACTCACAGCCTTCCTTTGTAGGCTACAGTCAGAAATGTCATCAAAGGAGTGCTTGGGATTCAGAGTTTGAGTGCAGTGGTTTGACGCATCCTCACTCGTTAAACTGTCATTAGCTGCAAATCACCCTAACGCACCTCTAGATCCCAATTAGCCTGATCAGGTAAAGTTTATTTTTTTATGGTTTTTCGATGCCGGGAACGAGATATAATCGGGTCTTATCAAGTCCTCAATAGAACAACATTTAAACATTCTCAATTCAGTCTTAAATCCTTCAGCATTACTGATAATTTTATGTTGAATGTCTTCATTTTACTGATTGTTCATCGTTTAGTTGAGTCAATGTTTTAATGCTTTATGAGCTTTTTTCAGTCAAGACACCATAAACAGTTTAAAAAGAGAAACAACGAAGCTTTTTGACATTTTTTGAAGTACAATTTTAATTTGAAAATCGTGAAAAATTTTCAAAAGAGAAAATTCAAAAGGAAAAGAGAACTTTAGTACTAAAGATTTAGATTCTCATATTTGAAATGAACGTAACAAAATTATTGCCAAAAGACTTTTTCATCTCTTCCTTAAAATGTCAACAAAAAGGATATTTTATTCCTTGACCTTGAAGTTACTTTAATAAACATCACGTCTACTTAATGATAATTTTCCTTTCTTAATTTTTTTTAATCTTTTTATCTTTTCCTCAATCACACTAGGCAGTGATGGATAACCCTTGTGCTGCGGCACTCAAGTGAAAACATTGTGAGCATTCGATCTAGTAAGGTGTGCCGCGGCACAAAAAAAGGTTGTCCACCACTGACTCAAGTTCATTACTTAGCCTTCCTTTTTTAAAACAATTTTTTTCAAGTTAATTCAATGAGTAAATTTAAGCAATTTTCTGGTTCGTAAAAAGCATTGCAAAAAATGAAAAGTGGTTAGTAGATTGAGTAAAATTGCACACCGAAGGGTTCAGTTGAATATTTTAAAAAAGAAAAGAAAATAAAATTGCGGTTTTTTTTACATTGTAAGATGAATTTTGAGACTCAATCGATTATTTTAAGGTTATTCGAGGATTGTCTGCGTTTTCATTGTTTTTTTTGTGGATATCTTAAAGTTTATTAATTTTCTGGTTTGTTTATTAAACAATTGAAACTCAAAAGGTTTCCATTTTTACCACCAAGTATACTCAATCATTAAATGCAATTCAAAAACACCCATAAAACTAAACAAAAATACTTTTTCTTCAACTTCCTGTCAATTCACATTGCAAACCGTAAACCTTGCATCAAGTTGATGAAAAAAAAGATACAAAAAAATCGAAACTGTTTTACTGTTTTGCTTAGTTTTGTGGAACGTATGCAAATAAGGATCTTTTTTACGAGCACTTTTTATT